GGCATTCCTCATGGTGCAGCTACATCTTGTCTTATGGATTAATGGAGACCCTGGGATTTGGCACTGGGACAGAGCGGGGAGGATGGCTGGAGAGGTGCTGCGGTGTTGGGATCCCCCCCAGGCACAAGTGCTCTGTGGGGCAGGAGCTTTTGGGGCGAGGAGATCTTTGGGATGAGCGCTCACTCAGGGGGCTGGAGGCTGAGGGACGGCGCTCGGGGCCGGGTGATTTATCAGGATGCATTGAGGGGGTTGAGGCAAGCGGCCACAGGTTTGGCTGAGCCGAGGCGGTGGGTGCTCTCCCCAGGCCGAGATGCTCCAAACCACATCCCAAAACCTTTTTACAGAGCCCCCCACCCCTAAACACATCGGGAAACAGCAGCAGCCTCGAGGAAAACATCCATCCACCGGCGAAAGTGCAAGCGGGAGCGTTTTAAGCTTGCCCGGATCCCGGTGACTAATGAGCCCTCTAATGCCGCCGGCTACATCTGGCCGAGCAGTGAGCGCTCTCCATCCCCCCCCGGCTCCATCTGACAGCCCGGGGCTGCCTGCCCCCGATTACGTGCCGTGGCTAATGGAGGCTGCGCCGGTGGCGGAGCCCGGGGTTGCTACGTAAAGGGTAAATACAGGTCCTGCCTGCCAGGCACTTCCCTCGAGTGGGCCCTGAGATTCTCCCTGGTAGCGAGGCAAGGGAGCATTTCCCGATAATACTTTTTATATCCTACCCGCGGTCCTGCTTGCCTTCGGCCCCCAACTCGCACCGAGTTTGATGGGTGGAAAATGGTACCTGTGGTTCCTGAGGGGGTACAAGGAGAGGGATGCTCCTGGGGGACGAAAGAGGACGCAGCATCCTCATCACAGACACGGTAGGGGTCCCACATCCTCAGCAGGAGCTGCTGAGCTCCTAAATGGCATGGCTGGAAGCACTCCTCACCGGGAAAGACCCTGGGATTCAGCGGGATGGGATGTCCCAGGTCACTGGTCCACTGGAACAGCACCGGCTTCAAAGAAGGTGGAAAATGAAGCGGCTGAAGGTGACGAAACGGGGAGCCCTGTGCCAACCGCAGATGTCTCACAGGCAGTGCCAGGAAAGGATTTGGGGCTGGCAGTGGCTCGTGCCGGCCCTGTGGATTCACCAGCGTGTCTGTTAGGTTGGAGGCAGGGTAGTGGAGACATGGGATAAGGTGGTCCGGGGGTGTCTGTGAGCTGATGGGGAAAACCAGGGCCAGGGGAAAGAAAATTCGGATTATTTATAGTTGTTCGTGCCAGCCGGGTCCCATAACCCCCGTCCCCAGCTGATGCCGTCCATCCTGCTGCAGGTGGAGCAGATCCTGTCGGAGTTTC